CGGCGGTTACAGCCAAAGTTACACCCAGCCTCCTCCACCACCAGCCCCAACCCCACCAGCCTACAATCAGCCCAGCTACAACCAGTACCAACAGGTAGGTGTGAAAAAGCAAGATTATCCTTGCGCATTAAGAGGATACTGTGGAACAAATCAAACACCTTTGCCGTCTTCCATTTTGTGGAGAAGAGGAGCTGCTGCTGCTTTTGTACTCGTGGAATATTAGTCAGAGGGGCAAGAGCGATCGAATTGGCCTAGGAAAACCAGGACTCTAAACATTACTCAGTCAAACTAGAAAACTTTGTCAGATCTCAGCTATTCCTGTAAACTTCTGAGGGGTTGATTACAGAATGAATTTACAAAGAGAGCCAATGAAAACTGAGCAGCAAGGTTGTCTGTAGGCAATAGTGTACGTGTCCTGGTGCTGACAATCACTTTTTGCATCAAGAAAAGTTGAGCTATCGAAGGGGTGTCAGCTTAGCTATTCCCCAGCCTGAGTAAGATTCCCACTGGGTGAAAGCCAAGACTTAACACCTTCCTTCTTTTTGCTCCCCCTCCCCCATTGGAAAAACAGGATGAATTCAGCTCAATTCACATAATTTACCCTGGTCGTGGAACTCAGCACTTGGGTTCCAGAATGCAGTTCTCGGTTCATGCAGCAATCGATTTGGTAAAAATGGGATGGTGTCGTTTGTGCTTTCAGCCTGTTGTAAGAATCCAGTCCTCATTTTAGCTGTTTGTGTAAATTAGGCCACAATGTGGTTTCTTTGGGCATAGTGTGTTATAACAATACAGCAGTGGTTCCCTCTTCCTCCAGACTGAAGGTTTAATGTGTTGTATAAATGTAGCTACTTAGTCTATACCATCTTGTTGGTTTTGCCTTTAGCAAGGAAGTGTTTGCTGCGAAGAGGGACCTTAGGGGGAGAAGACAAACCTGATGTAATCTGAGATGAGCCTGCAGTGACTTGATGGAAATGAGGGGAGGATATGACCTGTCCACCAAACGGTTTTCTCCTTTTTCCGCAGTATGCCGCCCAGCAGTGGAACCAATACTATCAAAACCAGAGCCAGTGGCCTCCGTACTACAGCAGCTACGACTACGGGAGCTACACGGGCACCTCGCAGGGAGGCTCAAGTGCGCAGTGATAGCTTGGGGTCGTTTCCCCAAGGGAAAGGAAGTGCGTTCTTAACGATGACGGGCATTTCTGAGTCTTGAGGGATCTGGGAGGGAAGCTGGGCACTTCTGTCCTGGCTTCCCTCTCTGTAGTTCTTGAGGATGGTTGCGTTTTTACTTGTACAGCTAGGCATGTTTCCCCACTTTGTACCATCCCTCATGAGGAAGTTACATGGTTCCTTGTCTCTCCTTGTTGAAGACAGTTTTACCCCCCCAGCTTTTTCTTTTTTAAAAAAAATTCTTTGATTCCAAAAGAAACTAGTGTCTTCAACATCATATCCTTGTACTTTTTAGGCCAGGACCCATCCAGGTATCTAAACTTCCTACAGTAGTTGGGGGCAGCATTGGAAGGGGCCCTCTTAGGATTTACCGCCATTCTCTCCAGGGGTGACAACAGGGTGTGATCAAAAAGGTCAAGAGGGTGGCCACAGTGCACATAAAAAAGATCACATTGTCGTGACCACCCTTCTTGACATTTTTTGACCCCATCCTGCAGGCCCTTCCAACTCTCTCTTTTCCACCCCACCTCACACAATCTGCTAGTGACCATAAATTTCAGACATTTTGGAAACTTCTTGCAGTTTGGTGTCACCTGTCTTTGAGGTGTTTTTATGTCTTTTTGGCCAATAACCATTAAAACTGGAGGGAGAAGAAATGGCTATCTTATGGTAATTATGTTTTTTTTTAAAAAAATATTTTTTCTGTAACTTTTTACTGTGGGTCAGTAGCTGTTAATATTTTCATCAAGATAACAATTCTTTTTGTTCAATACAGGAGAGGAAAAAGCAAACAAGGGGGGGAAATCATCTTAAATGTGTAACTTTTTATACAATGTTTCAGTTTCTGTAACTCTGAACATGCTTTGTGTTGAGTTGAATTGTAACAGCTTTTTGTATTTGGAGAAAAAGAATGAATATTGAACTTTAAACTGTTGGGTGTTTTGTTCTTTCCACCTCTGCCTGTGCACTGTAGCATTTAAAAACAGTCCACCCCAACATTATAAGAGCTTCAACTTTAGATCCTTTGCTTTGTTAAAAACTGCGTTCTCTCACCTGCTGCAATAATTAAACTAATAATGCAGCCAGTGTAACAGCAGAATGGGATCAGAATGCTGCCGAGCTTTTAACGACCCTGACCCCACCTATAAAGAAGGGCCTAGAAACCTTGTTTATACCTTTAATCACCAATGCCTTATTACCGGAACTATCAAGGGAACTGCTTTTTCCATTCATATGTTATAAATGAAAAAATGCACAATATTTATTTAAATCACTTTAAGATTTAAAGATTTCAGAACAGAACACAATATAAAACATACTAATACACAAGAGAAATTATGAATATTGTTATTACAGGTAGTCCTTATTTAGCAACCACAATTGGGACTGGCAACTTGGTCATTAAGCGAAGCAGTTGCTAAATGAAACTGCGACTCTGCTTATGATCAGCTTTCTTTTGCATTATAGACCGCGAAGGTTGTAAATGCAAGGATTGGTTGTAAAGTTACTTTTTCATCACCACTGTAACTCTGAACAATTGCTAAATGAGGCAGTTGCTAAATGAGGACTACCTATATTATTATATTTTCATCCCATCTTTTTTAAATATAAATCAAGGTGGCAAACATACCTAATACCCCTGCCTCCTATTTTCCCCACAACCACCACCACCACCCTGTGAGGTGGGTTGGGCTGAGAGTCCAAAGTCACCCAGCCGGCTTTCATAACAGATATCCTACAATTTCCTCAGCTCCATCAATCTGCTTGTGGGTCTGTTCATCTGCTTCCCCTGCAACTGCGGTTGGAGCATAGACTTGGATCCATGTAGTATTGATCGGCTTCCCTTGGATTCAAACCAAGGCCTTTCTGTAATCTTTTGGGTTAACGGCTACTCCATTTTTTCCAATGGTTTATGCTCATCCGATGTGGAACAATCCATTTCAGTTTACTGATTCCCAGAATGACTATACAGTAGTCAGTCTTGACATTTTCAGAGCAGAGTGTTTGTTTTGCTTCAGGGATATTCCATGGACTAATAGTACAGATGCCTTTATGGGTTCAGACTTAACTTTCAGCCTCTGGGCATGTCAGCAGCTGGATATCCTTTTGGCTTTGAATCAGCCACGTCATGAGCACCAACGCTACCCGTACTTCCTGTCTGCTCTTCCTCGGTTAGATTCCTCCTGACTGCCCGATTTTGGGTGTGTGTGTGTGAACATACTAATACTCCCTGCCTCCTATTTTCCCCACCACAACCTTGTGAGGGGGGTAGGACTTATATTGACCAGGACCCAGGGAGCTGAGTCCCTCCTTTACCCATGCGGTTAAAAATATTAAAACGGATCAGGAAATAATCATCTTGTCATGTCCTACAGCTAGGGTTCTGTCTTTTTTCCCCTTTAAAAAAGCCTTGCCTTTGTGTGACCCCCACACTTTTTCCCTCTGTTTCTCCCACTTCACTCCTCCTGCCCCTATACCGGTGTTTCTCGGCCACTTGAAGAGGTCTGAACTTCAACTCTCA